GGGGGGGGGGGGGAGGGAGGACAGGGGAATCTGTGGCTGATATGTAAAATTAAATCAAATTATAAAATTTAAAAATCGTTAAGACAAACTTAGGGAAAGAGACACTTAGGAAGAAAGTTATAGAGTAGGGAATACTGCAAGGGACAGAGGGATACAATGGCCCTGGTCTGGACAGTGGCCATCCTGGTCTACACAGTGAGGTCGAGGCCACCCTGGACTAGAGTAAGACCCTGTTGCAAAAACAACAAAGTTGTAACTAAGGTGTCTCTGTAGCCTAGCACCCAATTAATGCTGCTCTCAACCTTAGTCAGAGAACTTCTTTTTGTAGTGGACAGTGGTTAATAACTGGCCAAAGTGTTGAGGAAAAAAAGTGCCTGTTTCATGAATGCTCATCTCTAAACTGCTACAAGGCCCATGGAGGAATGGAAAAAAATCTAAGAGCTGACGGATGAGACTGAATGTGGCGAAACACTATTTCCTGGACAAAGCATGGCCACTACAGTCATGAACTCAAAGTATCTATTGTTACCTTTGCAAAATGTGGTAGTTCCAATCCGAACGGACCCGAAGGCTCATATATTTCTATATAGGGACTACTATGTCTAGTCCCTAGTTAGTAGACTGTATAGGGAAGGATTAGGAGGTGTAGCCTTGTTACAGGAGGTGTGTCACTGAGGATGGGCTTTGACGTTTCAAAAGCCCACACTAGGACCAGTCTGTCTGTCTGTCTCTCTCCCCAACCCCTGCCCCCAATGGCCTCTGGATCAGGATTTAAAGCTCTCAGCTACTGCTCTAGCACCATGTCTGCTTCCCAACGAGATGATAATGAACAAAACCCTCTGAAATTGTAAGCAAGCCCCTAATTAAATGCTTTCTAAGAGTTGGCTTGGCTTGGTCATGGTCTCTTCATAGCAATAGAATACTAAGACACAAGGCCTGCATAAAAGCAAGCCCATCAACATTCTAGCATTGATAGAGGTGAGGCACTTAAGGCCCTAGAGGTCAACAGCTGCTGGGGGTAGGGACTTCCAGGATACAGCTACTGGTAAGTTGCCAATGACCCAGTAAATAACCCTGCATATTCAAGCGACACTAATTAAACTCGGTGGATTACTTAAATAAGAAAAGACATGAAAGCAGGAGGAGAATGTACTGGGAAGAAGGGATCCAGGGGGAGTGGGAGGGAGATGAGAGGGTAATGGAGGTGAATATGACCAAAATACAGTTTAGACATGTATGAAATTGTCAAAGAATTTAAAAAAACAAAACTATAACCAAAAAGTTTAACAAGCAAATGCAAGCATCCAAAGACATGTTTATGGTAAGGAAGTGTTTCTCTGTCTGGCATAGGGTTTATATACTTGTAATCCTAGCTACTCAGGAGTCAGAGACAGGAAGATGACAAGTTTGAGTCAGCCTGGATTATAGACTAAGACCTCATTTATTAAAAAAAAAGGAAAGAAACAGGTGTTTCTCTGGCATCTGACATACCTTAACGGATGATCCAGCTATGTTATTTGGAGCAAGTGATCCAGCCTCTCCACAAGAGGGAAACAGAACACTCTATTTGTCTGAAAGGATGGCATTGGCTTTCAATACCACTAATTTCACACAATTTAATGTAATTAATTACTTGAACAATGCAAATAGCCAAGTTGTTCTCACACTTTGATAGTCGTGATGGTAAAGTCTCATATGCCTATGACAATGATAAGAAACGGTCACAAACTAATTTGACTATGGTCTGTATTTTTTTGGAATGACTGTCAGAGATGGAATCTGGCAGGCCACTCGCTTTTCCACACGGAATTATCTGTCCGGTATTCATAAAACTGTTTAATATACCTGTCCTCTCACAACCAAGAGGAGAATCCTAAATCTGGCTTCCCCAGGTCTTCAATTTCAAGGAAATTAGAGATGCATCATAAAGGAGAGCACCTGAAAAGCCTTAAAGGCAGCTTGGCTCAACTACCCACACAAATGGAACTGAAAGTGGGGCTCGCTGATCTCGGGAAGGTCATCTGTCCACCATCTTTCTTTAGTGGGAGGTGTTTTATACAGATCAGTATTTGTTTTGTGAGTGGTTGCACCCAGGCCACAGCCCAAGTAGGAAAGTCAGAGCACCACTAGGAGCCAGTCATCTTCTCTCACCATGAAGACCCAGGGGTGGGAGGGAGGCAGGTCGCCAGGTTTGCGGCAGGCCCCTTTACCCACTGAGCCATCCACCTCACTAGCTCTTAAGCAGATCATAGTTTACTATTTCTTCTTGAGACTGAATTTTCTTTAGAAAAAAGGTTCCTAAAGGCACCAAAGGGAGGGTAGCCTCCTTTCCTCAGTACTGCAGTTCCCCAAAAGAGGCCTTTCTACTTCTTACCAAATTCCGAGTCCTTCCACAGATATTCTGGCCATCCCCAATTCCAGCCATCAAATCCAATACCTGAAAGCATCTCAAAACTAGACTTACCCTAGCCTCTGAAATTCTCTTTTACTCAATTTGAGGTGAGATTGACTGATTTTGTTTAGCCTTTTTTCTTTTTACATGATTTCATTATGTACCCAGGGTTGAGAACTACTATTCTCTTTTAATTTTTAAAAAGTTTAATCTTATTTATGAGTACTTGTAGAAGGGCATGCATGAGTACAGGTGCCTGCTGAGGTCAAAGAACAGTGTCAGATCCCCTGAAGCTTGAGTCACAGGTCATTTTGAGCTGCCTGATGTGGGTGCTGGGAACTGAACTCAGGTCCTCGGAAAAGATCAGTACATGCTCTTAACTGCCAAGCCATCTCTCCAGCCCAAAACTATTATTCTTAAAAAATACAAAATAAGCTGGGCCTGGTGGCACACAACTGTAATCTCTGCAGTTAGGAGGTGATGGCAAGATGAGCAGAAGTCCAGAGCCAATCTTGGCTACAAGGCCAGCCTGAGCTCCAAGAGACTCTCAAGAAACCAAAAGATTACTGAGTGTGGTGGCACACACCTTTAATCTCAGTGTTCGAGGCAGAGGGAGATGGATCTCTATGAGTTCCAAGCCAGCTACAACAGTAAGACCTCAAAAAAAAAAAAGAAAAGAAAAGAAAAGGAAGATTCAGATTATACCTTCTCTTCCACAGAATGGGTACATAGAAATTAGATTGTGCCTCAGACAGATTTGTTTACCATTACATGGCAGCATACACCTTTAATCCCAGTACACGGTAGGCAGAGCCAGGTGGATCTCTGTGAGTTCGAGGCCAGCCTGGTCTACAGATCGAGATCCAGGACAGGCACCAAAACTACACAGAGAAACCCTGTCTCAAAAAACCAACCAAACAAACAAACAAAAAAAAAAGTATTTGCTTACTTTGACTTATAAACAAAGTCATATTATAAACCATCATCATTACCTGGCATATAGTTTTCAACTATTTGCTAAATGACTGAAGATATCAATACTGTTTCCCTGTACCTTAACTTTTTAAAAAAAAAAAAAAAAACAAAAGGAGGGTAGGAAACATGAATGTATCAGAAAATGGCAACAGTAACAACAGAAATAATGAACAATGAAAATTAATAGCCATGTGTCCAGCCCTATGTGTTCCCCATGCTCATCCCATTTAAGGAGTCTCAGTGTCCTCAAAAAGGTGGTATTTTTTCATCTTTATTTCATAGATGAAGGAATTAAGATGTAGAGTTAACTTTCCCACAAGCCACAAAAGCCAGTTTTTTTTTAACTCAAAGAGTCTGTTCCTAAGTCTGAGCATATTGACCAACAGCAGTGAATTAAAAGTTTATTCCTCTACTTGCTACAATCCTGTCTTTCACAAACGTCCCTATACCCATGCCAAACTGGAAAAGACTACTTGGGCTACAGTTTACCCCTGAAAAGGTATTTCTGGGTACTCTAATCACTTCCAACATTTCATTTTCCCCATCCAAGTTGTCCTCTGGGGACTCATGGGAGCATGGAAGAAATCAACAAGTCTCACTGGGCATACAAACCACACTTAAAGGCAGGCCTCATGTTCAGCAGTAGATGGCCAACACAAAACAAACTCAGTGGGATTTTGGGAGGGGGTTTTTGTCTCATAATGCTTTGTCTAGGCATTTTTTTAACTTGCACGTCTATTGCTTATATATTTTGGTGTTTGGTTTTGTGGCTTTATGGGATTTCTGTGTGTGAGAATGTTTCTCTACATCTGTATCTGTTTTTTTCTTTGGCTCTTTTTTTTTTCTTGTTTGTCCTGTTCGGGTTTGTTTTTATTTGGTTTTTAGATGTCTGTCTGGTCTTTTTTGGAGCTGAGGATTGAACCCAGGGCCTTGTGCTTGTTAGGCAAGCGCTCTACCACTGAGCTAAATTCCCAACCCCTGTCTGGTTTCTGATGAGAGACAGAAAGGGGTGTGGATTCTGGTGGGTGGGGAGGTGGAGAAGAATCTAAGAGGGAGGGGAAACCATGATCAGAATGTATTATATGAAAAAAAATCTGTTCTCAATTAAAAAGAAAAAAGGTCTTCCTATAGATATGGAATGCAAAGGATCCACTTGTTAAACCTATCTGGTGAGCAGGGCAAAGAAGCACCACATACCTGATGGTGAACATTTCATACTGAAGCCTATGCCTCTTCCCAAACCCCGACACTTTCCATCATTTCATTCTGGCACAAAGCAAAATCCATTACCTATCGCCAAATCTGCAAGCTCCCGTCTTACTGTAGAATGGACAATTGGCTCGATCTTTCTCCAGTACTCTTAAATCCGTGGGCGGTTCTGGGTTCTGCCAGGTGCCACCATTTTCCAACTGTTAAAAATAACCATGACTTTATTGGTGATGTAAAAGCACATGAAAGACTGTTCGTCCAAATAGTCAAATAAGTTTAATCAAGAACAAAAATGGTTTCATATATGGACATGCATAGTTAAATTATAATAAGGAATCAAGACCTTATAGGCAATTGCTCAGAAACATGAGCTGTACTTCTCTTTTAGCTCCCAGTCCTTTTCCTTGACTGGGGGTTACTTAATGTTACCAGATACAGTCACGAAGGTCTTCTTTCTATCCATCTATTCTGAAAGGGTCCACGGACATAGGGAGCCACCAGAAAGAAGTACAAGTTACTCTGAATCAAGGTGGGGAAACCATCCATTTGGGGCCAGTAGTATGTGATGTCACTTACATACATTTTAAGGACTTGATACAAGCATAGCCTATGGGGTGATTCAATACCATCATCAATTGTCTTCTGTTGTTACATAGCTGAAATCTCTAGTTACAAAAGTGATTCCATGTATACAGAAGTAATCAAACCAACCTACCACAAAACTCATGTCACTGGAACTATTGTTCCTAATGAAATATCAATTGACCTCAAAATCTTTTTTTTAAGGCAGTGTCTCTCTATGTAGCCCAGGCTGGCCTCAAACTTGTGGTCATTCTCCTCCTTCAGCCTCCCCAGGGCTAAGACGACTGGAACGTGCCACCTCTACCTATCTCAAAGTCTTAATGAAAGGTTTTGAAAATACCTCATTTTCAGCCTGATCCAGCATCTTCTGCACAGCTTCCTATAAGTGGTGCAAACATAGGACTAATGAAAACCAGGATGTCAGCTAAGTCATGTCTGTTTTCTCTAGTTATGACTCTCATGTACGACAACACACACCTGAACACACATACAAAAGGCTTCTGATTCTGATTTCCTTTCTAAGCATATATCTTCTAAAAAAGCTTTCAAAAGATATATAGCTTAGAATTTTTATTCAAATGCAAAATTTGAATAGAGCACATTGCAAATATTTAAGTCATAATAGCTTCAGTAACATATCTATACATAAAGACCATATTCTAATTCTTGATATATTAATGACTATCTTTTAAAAGTTGAGTTAAGCATCACAAATACTTAACAGAAGCAAAGGCATGACACGATGAGCAGTAGTTAGGATTTGGGAGAAATTTCAAACCTTCAGTAAAATAAAGGAAGTCCAACAAGGTAGCAATAAATCTCTAACTAGTTGGATTTAAATACAGTTAGGTAACTTAGCACCTTAAAACCATACATACAACTGTATTTAGCTGCTTCTTTGGTAAGTCTACCTGGTCCTGGCAACTTAAAAGTCATTGGAGCAGTCAGGCATGGTCACACATGCCTTGGATCCCAGGATTCGGGAGGCAGACGCAGGTGGATCTCTGAATTCGAGTCCAGCCTGGTCTACAGAGTGAGTTCCAGGATGGCCAGGGCTACACAGAAAAGCCCTGTCTCCAAAAAACCAAACCAAACCAAACCAAAAACAAAGAAACCAAGTCATCGTAGCATAATGTGATCAAAACAGGTTCTTTTGGGTTTGGGTTTGGTTGAGGGTTGGAGATCAAACTGAAGGTTTTACTTTTGCCACCGGCCAAACAGAACTCTTGATCTCCTCCATCCACTCACCCTCATCATCTAAACCGAAATATCCTCAGTAACTGGCACTGCCATGTTCCCATTTGTTTAAAAAAAAATGAACAAACAAAAACAACACCTAAAAACATGACTTCCATTCCCTTCCTTTTCCTTCTTCCTCCCATGCAATTTGCCACCAAGAGTCCTGTTAACTGTGTGCTCATGTTTGAAGCTCTGTCCTCATCCAAACCACCATTATCTCCTACCCAGATTCTAATTGGTCATCCTGTTTCCTCTCTGGCCCCTGTTCTTTGTAGAAAAAAAAGGGATGATCTGTTGGAGGTAACATTACTAACAGGATGAACTCACTCACTGTTTTACAACTCTCATCACAGTATGGAAAATAAAACCAAACTCCTTTAACTCTAAGAGGCTCGTGATCCTCCTGCCTCCGCCTCCTTCAGCAAATCCCACGGAGTGCGACACCGACACAGTGAGCCTGGGCTCACATAACCTGGGCACACAGAGACTGAAGCAGCAAGCACAGAGCCTGCGAGGGTCTTCACCAGAACTTCTGCGCATGTTATGGCTGTTAGCTTGGTGTTTTTGTGGGACTCCCAACAGTGGGAGCGAGTATACCTCTGACTCTTTTGCCTGTTCCTAGGACTCTTTGCCTCCTATTGGGTTGCCTGGTTGTCCAGCCTGGAAGAGGGCTTTCGCCCTGTCTTACTGTATCTTGTTTTGCCCTGTTTGATTCTTGGCTCTTAGAGGCCTGTTCTTTCCTGAAGAAGAAACTGAAGGGGCGTGGATCTGGGGGAGAGGGGGAGGGAAAGGAAGGGAGACTGTGGTCTAGATGTACTGCTTCAGAGAAGAATCTATTTTCAATTTTAAAACCAAAACCTAAGAGGCTCTGCATGTCCTGCCCCTTCTGATCCTACTTTCTCCCATGCCCTTTCCCCAGTCCCCTGTGTTCTCTAAGTTTCAGGTCCCACCAGGATCCTCCCTCCCAGTATCTGTACACTCAGGTGTAATTATCTCAAACACCACTTCCTCAGAGATTTCCTTGGCCGGGTAATCCAAATAAGAATCTCGATGCCCATTATTCTATCACACCACTCTCCTCTATTTCTTTATAGAACCTAACATTCTTACTGTATGAAGTGTTTTGCTGACTTACCCTCTGCTCTCCCATCTAGAAAAGTCACTCAAGGAGAGCCGAGAAACAGACGTAGCACATTCCTTTGTATATGTGCTTAGAGTGGAATTCATTTTACCCACTTCTCCTTAGCCAGACTCTCTTTAAAACAAGAGCATTTAAAAGAAGCCTTAGCTTTTACCTGATCCCTGAAAATTGAAGAATATTCTACTGTTAAAACAGGAACTGATTCATCTCTGTAAAATACCGACAATCCAAACAATTGTTGTATCCCTAATATCCCCATCTGGATATTGCCTCATCTGGAAGGTACTCCTCAAACAAGGGTACCAAAAACCTGCATTGGAAATGCTGTCTGAGACACAAAACTAGTTGTGGAGACTGCTGATACCTTTCCATAACTAGAATGTACACACATTCTAAGATGAGTGACTATGGAAATGTCATGCCATTCAAATTTGGTGATGCTGAAGAAAAAAAGAATAAAGAATATCCTCATGAATCAGTCAAGGCAAGAAAAGCTATGTTATATTTGAAATAAATACACTGTTGAAGACCAGCAGGAAAACAAACCAAGCTTATAAAGAGAATCGCAGAAAATGTACAGGAGATATACATATACAATACAGAATTTCTTTTTTTTCTTTTCTTTTCTTTTTTTTAAAGCAATGGTGGGAATTATTAAGGAAAGGCTTTTAACACAGATTTAAGCATAAGCATTAAGAGACAGGGAGAGAAACATGTAAGAAAAGGACAGTAGCAGATGTCCTAGAATGGGCACAGGTTTCTCAAAGGGATGGTCCTCCAGAATTTCGTAAATGACTGTCATTTGCTTTGACAACAAAATTAGACAGAACACCAGATTCAGTAACAAAACTATTTAATTCCTTAATGTCTAACATCCTGATTCTGTTAAACTAATTCTTGCTGAGATGCCATTAGCTGTTAAGTCTCTTATGAATTAATAAGTGTGGAAACTTCAAGATACTATTCTTCTGTGAAGAAGTCAACACATATACAACAGAGCCATAGAAAAGTTAACACTTGCTACAGAGAGATACAGAGTGTAAAGCAGGGCCAGCTGCCCGGTTTACAGAATTGTTTTACTAGAACACAGGCACATCCATTCATATACATACGATCTGTGTCTGCTTTAGGGTGCACTGGCAGAGCTGGATGTCCACAGAAGCCATACAGACATCACAGCCTAAAATATTATCTGCCCCTTAAGGAAAATGTTTACCCATCTCCAACATAAAAGGTAAGGTAACTTGGGTAAAGGAATCTGCCATTGCATGACCCAAAGAAGAGAAACATATGGAAGCTAGTCTAGTATATTTCTAACAAAAACTGATACTTTCCAAATGAACAGAGAACAAGCAAAAAAATAAAACCAAACCCAAGCCCTGACATGCCCACTGCCGATTCTGCACACCCTTCACATGCACGCGTGCACACTAAGAAGATACGCAGGGCTCTATCCTCCTATGACAGAAGTCACCTCTCTTTCTCTCTTCTCCTGTTGTCTCTGCTCCTCTTCCTCTCGCTCTTTCCTCTGCTGCTCTTCCCATTCTGCCTTTAACTTTCTCTGTAAAGGAAAAAAGGGAAGGTAATTCTTTTTCAGTCACATTGAACAACACATAGCCTACAGAGTAATGATTGAAAAACTTTAGAAACACTGGTCACTGAAAAGAGACAATATCAGGTTTTTTTTTAAATGTAGCTCCCTCCTTTTTTGTTTACACAATGTTGAGGAGAGAACCTAAGGCCTTGCACATGTTCAACAAGAGCTCTGTCACTGAGCTCTATCCCCAGCCCCAAGAAAAACAACTTTTTCTAAAAGAGATGGTATTTTTGTGTGAGTGTCCCTGTGACATATGTGCCTGTGAGGGTACACACGCAGAGAAAGAGCATGGGACCCCTCGGAGCTCAAATTAGACAGTTGTGAGCCACCATATGGGTGCCGGGAAGGAACAAACCCAGGTCCTCTGGAAGAGCAGCAAGTGAGTGTTCTTAACCACTCAGCTATCTCTCCAGTCCCATAACTAACAACTTTTTTATTTAAATTTACTTTATTTTATTTTATGTGTATTGGTATTTTGCCTGCACGTAAGTATGCGTCTGCACCATGTGCATGCCTGGTACCTCAAAAGCCAGAAAATCCCCTGGAACTGGACTTCCGGATAGTTGTGAGCCACCATGAGGGTGCTAGGAATCAAACCCAAGTCGTTTAGAAGAACCACCAGTGTACTTAACTGCTGAGCCATCTCTCCTGATAAACAGCTCTCGATGAGACTCATTTCAGTTAAGCACTTACTCAGGTAACTGGCTAGTTAATACTCTACCTCTTGTTCTTCCTTCCGTTTTCGAGCTGCCTCTTCTTTCCTCTTCTTTGCCCTGAATTCTTCTTGTGCCTTCTCTTCCCTCAGTAACCATTCTTCATGTAATCTTTGCCTGTTAATATAATGATGTAGTCAGTAACAACAAATGGGAATTCATCTAGAATGTATGAAAGGCAGGAAACCAAAATATGACATGAAAATCTTAAGGTTATTTTCTATAAAGCAGTGAAGAGGTATGGCTTTTGAAAAAGCAACTACCTTCCTGGACAGAAATAGGTTACAATTACTACTTGCACCTTTCAGAAGCATTTATGGCTATGACATCTTTTCTTTCTATAAGAAGGTAACAGTGATTTTCATTTCAGGCAAACATTTCAAAGCAACATCTATGGGAATTTTCACATTCGCATAGCATTATTCTTCCTGAGCATTCTTTCCCCACAAACATTACTATTTCCTCCTCCTCCTCTTCTTTTGGTTTTTTGAGACAGGGTCTCTTCCCTATGTAGCCCTGGCAGTCCTGGAACTCACTATGTAGCCCAGGCTGACCTGGGACTCAATGATCTGCCTGTCTCTATGTCTCCAGTGCTAAAATTAAAGGTGTGCACCACATCTGGCTAAATCTACATTTACTAATTTATTTTTATAACTTTTCATCTTGTCTTAAAACTTTTATTTGTATACGTATGAACATTTGCTGGCATGTAAACATGGGTATCACATGCATGCCTGGAGAGGCCAAAAGAAGGGATCAAATACCCTGGAATAGACGTTATAGATGACTGTGAGCAGCATGTGAATGCTGGGAACAAAACCTGAGTCAAAGTGCGTACTCTGACTCAGTGAGCCTTCTCTCCAGCTCCCTTAAAACTTTCATTTTAAAGACATGCTCACAACTAACAACCTAACTTTTTTCCCAGCAGCTTAATGTTTGAGGGCAAATCACAGGAATCCCTTAACTCTATGGAATAGAAACTCAAAGGTTACAGAGAATGATGCCAGGATTTTTTAAGCTGTAATTATGAAACTGAATTTTTAAATGCATAGAATACCCAGGTGGTACATGCCAAGGATCCTAGCAATTGGAAGGCTGAGACAGGATTACAAGTTCTAAGCTAATTTGGTCTTACATAGCAAGACCCTGCCCCCCCCAAAAAAAACAAACAACACCCTTCCCCCAAAAAAGGTAACGTTACCATAAATTGCTATGTCCCAGGCATCCAATAGCACAAGCTTCTCATGTGAAATCTTCATTGTCAATTTGACTCGATTTGGAATCATCTAGAAAATACTGCCCTGGGCATGTCTATGAGGGAGTTCCAGGGCCTATTAACTGAGGAGGGAAGACTTGCCCTAAATATGAACCCATCTTGTAGACTGGGCTTCCTGGCTGAGTAATGAGGGGAAAGGGAAAAAAGAAGCTGAGCACCTGCTCCTTGACTAAAGAAACAATTGTAGCCAGGCTGTGGTGGTGCATGCCTTTAATCTCAGCACTTGGGAGACAGAGGCCAGCCTTGTCTACAAAGTAGCCAGTTCCAGGACAGCCAAGGCCACACAGTGAAACCTTGAAAAACCAAAAACCTATGTGTGTGTGTGTGTGTGTGTGTGTGTGTGTGTACACACACACACACACACACACACACACACACACACACACGAATGAAAGAAAAAATAGAGACAATTGGAACAGCTGTTTCTTATTCCTACTGCCACAGCAAGGGTAGCTCTTGTTACCACACTCTCCTCATTCTGATGAAGTAGAGAGGATTAAAAATTATGAATAGAGAATTATGCTACATCCATAGTGTCATTAGAATTAGGTCTTTGTGTCAGCACTAAAATATATGTATGTTTATTTACCAATTAGAAAAGCAATGAAAAATACTTCCCCTAAAAAAAAAGTATGATAGCACAAGCCAGTAATTCCAGCATTGGGTAGGCTAAGGCTAAGGCAGGAAGAGGAGATCAGCCTGGAAAAGAAAGAGAAAAGAGAGAGAGGGAGGGAGAGAGGGAGAGAGAGAGGGAGAGAGAGGGGGGAGAGAGAGAGGGAGAGAGGGGGGGAAGAGAAAGGGGGGAAAGAAAGGAAGGAAGAAAGAAAGGAAGGAAAGAAGACATCTAATTTTAACCTGTGAGCTAGAGATACAGTTTATAAGAGGTAGTTTTTACGAGATTTTATACAAAAAGCCTTTACTAGTCGGTAATGACAAAAAATATAACCATAAACTAACAGTTCACTTTAAGTGTTTCAGTTAGTCCTGACCTCTCTTCCTCCATCAGTCTTTCTTCTTCCAATCGTTTTTCTTCAGCAAAAGCATCTTCTTCCTCCTCTTTCTGTGACAATTCTGTAGAAATTCAGATGTTTTATTAAACTGAGTCTTTATTCAAGGAAAATGCATAAATCTTTCATCTATACAATTATAATAAAAACCTAAAATTAAGGCAGTGTCGCACACCTTTTATCCCAGCACTCAGGAGGCAGAAGCACATGGATGTCTGAGTAAATTCCTGGTCAGAGCTACAGATCCTACCTCAAAAAATAAAAATATCTTCAAAGGAATAGCAGCAGTAAGCCACCATATGGGTATGAAACCTTCATCCTCTGGAAGAGCAGCCAGTGTTTTTTTTAACTTTCATTCTTCTCTCACACATTACATCCCGAGGGCAGTTTCCCCTCCCTCCACTCCTCCCAGTCCCTTCCCTGCACCTCCTCTCCTCCCCAGATCAACTCCTCCTGCATCCCCTCAAAACACAAATCAAAACAAAACAAAAAAATAAATAGATAATAAATAAATGAATAAATTAGAAAAAAAGAGCAGGCCTCCCGGGGATATATATCCCCCAAACAAGAGAGAGGGTTTCTCTGTAGACCAGGCTGGCCTCGAACTCACAGAGATCCGCCTGCCTCTGCCTCTCAAGTGCTGGGACTAAAGGTGTGCGCCAGCACCGCCGCTAGCTGCAGCCAAGGTTCTTGCAACCATTCCTCCAGTCCTACATTATTTTTTTAAATCCATGGTTCCACAATGATACTCACGACATGGCTGTGCAAACGATTTGCCAAATTTATACGAAGCAGGAATATTTAAGTGTCCTATTTTTTTCAAATTTGTGTACACTGGAATATTTTCAAAGTTAAAAACATGGTGAAATAGTTTCAATGGAAGAAAACTATCTTCTATTCAAAATTTAAATCTGAAGTGGGGGGAAGCAGTGATAATGGAGACAAATGAAGTAAGCTTAAGAAACTGCTTAACAGCTCATCTTCAGGCTTAAAGGAAAGGGATGTTGTCATCAATAACAACAGTTTACCGCTGTCTTTCTTTTCATCCTTGCCGTTACATCCTGTCTCTCCTGGACTAGTCCTTTCTCAAATGCTGTGAAGCAGTCTCTCATACCAGTGGTGTGACTGGCAGCCATCATAACCTAGAACTACTGTGGGATTTCAACCCTTGGCCTGCATTGGTAAGTACTAATTTTATAAACCTACTAAATTTATAAATCTAAAACATAAATATCAGGTCCTGTCATGTGAAAGCCAAACAGCATGGTGTCAGGTTGTGCAGGAAATTGCATGGGCTGGGGATGTCATGCTCACCTGGTAGAGTGCTTGCCTAGCATGCAGAAGTAATCAGAAGCAACCTGGCATGGTGGCCGCATTCCTGTCACCCCAGAACAGGGGAGATGGAGGCAGGAGAATCAGAAGTTCAAAGTCATCCTCGGCTACAGAGCGAATTTTAAAGCCAGCCTGTTTGAGGCCACATCTCAAGCAGGAGCGGAGGTGGGGCAGCAGAGGGAAGAATTTCATATCCTGAACAAAGAAGGCCTCTCCTACCTGCATCTCTCAATCGAGCAAGCTCCTGCCGCCGTTTCCTGCGTCTCTCCTTCCTCAGGAAAGCCTTGTACTGCTTATGGCTGGAAGATTGGAAAGCACACACGGGGTGTGAGCTCCCGCGCACAGGGTGCAACACTCTCAGCTCCGGGCCTACCAAGGACAGCGCTTTGGAGGTGGAGGACGCGGGTGGGCTTCTCTTGCTGCAACCCTGACTCCCGCCATTCCATCCCGCCCCCGCCCCCAACCCTCCATCTGCTCCCCTCCTCGCCCCCCCAAACCATAGCTGCCCAGGACTTCTCGTGCAACCCCAACTCCAGCCATTCCGTTCCGTCCCGCCCCCCCCATCTGCTCCCCTCCTCGCCCCCCCCCAACCAAAGTGCCCAGGACTTCTCGTGCAACCCCGACTCCAGCCATTCCGTCCCGCCCCCCCCCATCTGCTCCCCTCCTCGCCTCCCCGAACCCATAGCTGCGCGGGACAGTCAGGGATTCTGGCCAGAAGCGGATCAATACTCGTCCCCACGCGCGCGGCGGCGGCCTAGGCGGCCTCAGCTCATCATCTGCTGTGCTATACCTCATTTTCTCGCGGAGCGCAGTCGGCCCCGACTCCGCCATGTTGCCGCCTTCTCTCCCACAGCAAAGGTCTGAGCGGAAGTCGCCTCCCAGATGACGAGCTCTGCCGCCCACTCAGCGCAGCCACCGGGGCGGGCCCGAGACAGAGGGAGGGAAGTTTCCTCCCGCCCCTAGTCAGGCAGCCACCGAGGCCTGAGGAACTGTTTCCTCACCGAAGCCGCCTCCGGAGCTCTCCCTCCACCCGCAGCTCCGGCCTCGGCTCCTCAGTGCCTCCTCGCCGCTTCAGCACCACCCCTCGCCGGCTGCGCCATCAGACCGGGCCCTGAACTCAAGGAGTTAAAGCCTGGCCCCGCCCCCCGCCCCGCCTCTTTCAACTCTCAACTCTCAATTCCAGCCCGCGCAGCCTCGCCTGGTCCCTCGGAGACGCCTCCAGGCCCTGCCACTCTCTGCGGCTCCACCTATCAGCGCCTCAGGCACAGCGCAAGACCCCGCCTCCTCCTTGTCGCTCCGGGTGGCTCCAGCTGCAAAGGTGTCAGGTTTGTCACCTAGTTGTTTACTCCTGGGACACCGAGAGGGACTGACAGGTCATAAGGAGCAGGTGAAGGTGATTTATTGCTCTGGCGCTTGAGTTTAGCTTGGAAGGAAGATGGTCTTTACCAAGGGAGGGAAGGCCAACCTGAGCTACCTGAAACCATGTTTTAAAAAAAGAAAAAAAAATTTGAATACTCTATCACAATAATCTAGGTAGGGTGTGATGTGGAATTAGACTGAAAAAATAAAAATAGGGCTGGCAAATGGTTAAGCAGGTAATGGTGCCTGCTACCAAGCTTGAGGACCCCAAAGACCCACATAGCAGGAGAAAAAAAAATGGACTCCCACAAATGGACCTCTTACTTTGGTATGCGCACCTACACATGCTCCCACACAAAATAAATAAATGTAAAAACAAAAAAAGAAAAAGAAACCCTTGCTAGTAATAAAGTCAGAAACAAGGCCAAAAAAAAAAAAATAAATGTTTCTACTAAACACACATTAACACAATCTTTTGGAAGAATTGTGCCTTGATTTATCTTTGTACAAAACAAACAAAAACAGGCTTTTATTCACATTTCATGAGCAGTCTTCTCAGGCAGGAACAAGTTCTGATAACGGGAAGAGACCCCTACTTGCTAGATATAAGCACTTTCTAAGGACTTTGATGGCAAGTCCCACAGGAAGACCTTGAACATACAGGGATCCTTGTTGAGCAGCTTGGACTTCTTGTCGTTGGGGATATCGATCCACATCTCCTTCACATTCTGTAGCAACTTGTTGCAATGTTTATCAAAGGGCTTTTCCTGAGACAGGAGATTCTTGTTGGGACTGTTGATGAACACTTGGTTCCTGGGCTGTTTTCTGTTTGTTTCGTTTGGTTTGGTTTGGTTTGGCTTTTTTGAGACAGAGTTTCTCTGTGTAACAGCCCTGGCTGTCCTGGAACTCACTCTGTAGACCAGGCTGGCCTCGAACTCACAGAGATCCTCCTGCCTCTGCCTCCCCAGTGCTGGGATTAAAGGCATGCGCCACCACTGCCGGGCTGGAAACATTTTATTATGAAGACTGCATAAGATAGCCTATGCTATACTGAAAGAAAAAGTCCAAGACCAAGTTCTCAGCACAAAAGAGATTTATTTGCCCCAGAAGGACAGAGAGCAGGAAATAAGAGACAAAGACAGGACATAGAGGACAAGGGAGAAAGGGAAGGGAACAAAGGAGAGGAAGAAGGGGTATTTGTCCCAGAGTGGGACAAAGGACAGCCTCCGGATAGAAAGGAGACAGATGTGGCACATAGGAAAATGGCAGTTTATAAAGGTACAAGAGGAAACCCTGTGTTAGGATGAGGCGTTTAATTTTGATTGGGCATGTTAATTAGGTGAGCCAAAGGAGGCTTTTGATTGCGGGCCTTCAATACTATGGTAGCTGGAACTTGGTGGTCAGCCTCAGGGGGAGGAAGTAGCCAAATAAGGGAATGGACCTTGGGGGCCAGCTTTAGGAATGTAGTCTAACGGTTTTTAGCAAGGCAGAGGGAAATGGGGGAGAAGGGTAAGGCCTGCCAGAGCCATGTTCCCATGCCTGGGCCCGCCAGAGTTCCTTCGATACCTACACACGATGCTTAGCAATTGTATCCCCAAACTTAAGCCATGAAAGCGTCATTATCATCATTATTGTGAAAACTTCCTGACTCTCCTACCAAGTGTGGGTTAGCACTGGTGGTGCCACATTCCCGACATGTGTATTTCACATCTATGCCAGTATGCTGGCCTGGCTTTCTTCCCTTGGATGCTTCTTCCATTAAACCTTTTGTCTGTCTGATTTTGTTTCTTGCAAACAGTCTCATGTAGTCTCAAATCCACTAGACAGCCGAGCAGGACTTTGAACTCCTGATCCACCTGTTTCTACATCCCAGGTGCTGGGATTTGGGGTGTATGCTACAAACCTAGCCCTTGCATAAATCTAAACTTTTTGTCAGATTTGGCAAAAATAGCCTAAAATTACAAACAGCTCGGGATGGCACTCATGATTGCAGCTGTGTGACTCACCAGTTGTACAGATCCCTGTGACTAGGATTTGCACTTCAAATTGCTGCCATTCGGAAAGCATCAGAGCTTTAGCGACTGCAACATGCACTGCATGTGACAGTCACTTTCGAACAAAAAGCATATCTTCCGGGAAGATGTTCCAATTTTTATAAAAGACACAGATGTAGATTTCATTTTATTATGATTGATAAATGAATGTAAATCTCCTCCAATTGGAATAAGACATTTATTTTCAAGTTAACTACTGAATTCATTTTCAGGAAACAGGTTTAAATTGCTCAAGTTAATTTCTTTACAGAAGGAGCTCTGAAAGCCAATTCCATTTCCAAACTAAAATTACTATCATTTGAATTCAATAAAGAAAAATGTCTTCCTAAACTTTTGGGGAAGAGATGCCTAGTTTTAGAATAGACAACCTTCTCCCAATCCATGTGCAGGATCGTGCTCTGGTGACATCTAACCTACCCAGTTCTCCTCCCTGTCTTACCTACGGTTCTTTAGAGTAATCGGAGAATCTGCTGGCCAGGCATGGCCTGCAGCCCAAAATAGCCTGGACATTGTTCCGGCCCTTCCTTGGGAATGTGCCATTTCAGATTAGGGAGGATCTAATGGATTCCGCTCCATTCAAAGCACGATGCCCTTTCAGTGTTTGCCTAGTAAGTCCTACAGCCCTTGAGGTATACAACCTGGAGACAGCATCCTTTTTTTCGGGGGGGGGGGGGGTGGCTCGAGTGAAGCAGATGCTGTCCAGATTCTGTCTATCTCGGGAAGCTTTGGAGGACCAGCTTACAGATGACCCTAGGATTCACTTGTGCCTTGTACTGATCTGTGAGAAATATGCCTGCTCTGTCAAACTTCTACAGGAACATGCTCTGTTTTACCACTTAGATGAGTTGGGAATGTCTGTGCAGTAACCCTAACCCACAGCATGTAGTCCTGGAAAATGGGGCTGGCAGCCTGCTCAGTCTAGTGCCAGCTGGAGATTGTGTGCTGGGCTATGCAGAGAGGTGAGCTATGGGAAACTGGCTGATTCTCACCATTACTGCTTCTCTAGTAAATCCCTTCTGAGTTTTCCAGTTGCTATCTCATGTGTTAAAGGGTGTCTCATTAATTTTTGCAGATATCTTACATATCCAAACATGTAGTGAGAATGAAAACCCATTAAAACCATTAACATTGTAAATAATAATACAAATGTGGAAGGGCTCAGTGATCTACTGCTACTTAATGGAGATGAGCAACAATGTTCATTCCAAACTCTTTCTTTGGCTAGGGAGGTAGCTCAATTGGTATGGTGCTTACCAACAATGTACAAGGCACTGGGTTCAGCCCACATGAATCTGAGCACGGTTATCATTGTGCTTGGAATGAAAAATGTCCCCCACAGGCTCAGGTATTTGAACACTTGGTCCCCAGTTGGTGGCAGTGTTTGGAAGGGCTCTGGAATGTGCCTTTAGGAAGTGGAGCTTTGCCGGGGAAAGTACATCGCTGGAGGTAACCTTTGAGTTATATTTATACATTTATGTATGTATGTATGTATGTATGTATGTATTTTAAAATGTGATTAGGCAGCTTCCCGCTCCTGCCACCATTCCTGCATTCTGCCATGCCCTCTGCTCTATCCCTCAGGAACCATAAGCCAAAAGAAACCCTTTCTTCTCGAAGTTGCTTTCAGTCAGGCTATTTTATAACAGCATCAGAAAAGTAATACAGTGGCACACACTTGTAACCCCAGGACATGGGAGGTGGAGGCAAGAACATGAGGAATTTGATGGGATCTTCAGCTACACAGAGAGTAGGGGGGCAATCTGGATACATGAGATATGAGACGGTCACACACACACACACACACACACACACACACACACACACACACACACCCCTCCAGACCAGACCCTGGGCCAATGCATGTTTAGGAAGGTACAAACAAAACTTATTTTAAAGTACAGGGCCTGTGGTGGTTTGAATAAGAGTCACCCCCAAAGGCTCAAATATTTGAATGTGTAGTCATCAGGGAGTGACACTATTTAAAAAGGATTAGAAGGTGTGGTCTTGTTGGAAGAAGTATGTCCCTGGGGGGATTTGAAGTTTCAAAAGCCTACAGCAGACCTGGCGTCTTTCTCCCTCTACCTAGGGATCAGGATGTAGCTCTCAACTACTTTTCCAGTTCCATGCCTGCCATGCCTGCTGCCATGCTCCCCACCATGAAGATGATGGGCTAACCCTCTGAAACTGTAAGCCAGCCCCAATTCAATGCTTTCCTTTATAAGAGTTGCCTTCGTCACGGTGTCTCTTCACAGCAACAGAACAGTGACCAGGACAGGGTCTCCCTATGTAGCCCTGGCTGCTTTGGAACTTGTTATGCCGACTAGACCTCAAGCGCACAATGATCCACCTGTCTCTGCTTCCTGAGTGCTGAGATTAAAGGGATGCACCACCATTGCCCACTCAAATACAACATTTTTAAAGGCATAAAAGGGAGGGCCCGGAGGCTGGGTGGCATGTTGGGACATGCCCCTACTGTGACACAGGGCTCTCTTCTGGGAACAAGACCCAAGGGAGCTTGTGGTCCCGTTTCTGGTGCTGGTCAGCTTCCCTCGGAACTAGCACTCTGCGTTGCCAGCCTGCTTCCCCCACTTTATCCTTGATCTGTGCGGTGGGCCTCAGCCAGAGGAGTGGCTGTCCTGGGAAGGACGCCCAGAACTGTGAATGGGAAATCATACCAGTCTCACATTTAACATGGCTTTATTTCCTAAGGCAAGAAAATGCAAAAGACATTTGTGTGGTCAAGATTTCTCCAGAAGCAGGGTGAGGTGACCTGTGAGGATGGGTCACTACTCTCTAAACCCAGAAAGTCTATAAAATCATGCAAATCGAGAAGGTCATGTCTTCATGTGAAACTGCCCAGGCTGTCAAGGGTATGCATATCCCAAAACCCACCATCTCAAAGATGGCACTTTAAAGAAGGAGGATTGGCTGTCCACGCTCAGCTGGTCAAGTGCTTGCTTAGCACGCTTGCAGCTCTGGGGTCAGTCCTCAGCACCACATACACTTGGCATGGTGTCACATGCCTGTAAGCCCAGCACTCAGGAGGTAGAGGCAGAAGAGTTAAGAATTCACGGTCGAGTAACATGGCCAAGATGGAGACACAAAACTCCGGGACGGAGGACGGCTTTTCTCCCCGTCACGCACAGAGGGGGCCAGAGGGCGAAGAAGGACAGGCGGAGCAGCGGGACAGGATGGAGACACCAGCTGCCGCATGGACACGGAGGAGGCGCGACCTGGCGAAGAGGCCGGTCTTCCCTCCGCTCTCGGGCAAGCGGCTCCTGACTGGGAAAGAAGAAACGAGAAAGATTCCTGTCCCCGGTAACAGATACACACCATTAAAAGAAAACTGGATGAAGGTATTTACTCCAATAGTAGAACATTTGGGACTTCAGATACACTTTAACCTGAAATCAAGGAATGTAGAAATCAGCACTTGTAAAGACACCAAGGATGTCAAAAGCGGCCGACTTTGTGAAAGCCTTTGTTCTTGGGTTTCAGGTGGAGGATGCGCTTGCCCGTATCAGGCTGGATGGCCTCCTCCTAGAGTCTTCTGAAATAACCAACGTTACGCCCCTAAAAGGAGACCACCTGTCAAGGGCAATACGAAGAATTGCTGGCAAAGGAGGAAAAACCAAATTTACAATAGAGAATGTGACACGGACACGGATTGTTTTGGCAGATGTGAAAGTTCACATTCTCAGCCCTTTCCAGAACATCAAGATGTTGAGAACTGCCATTTGCAACCTCATCCTAGGAAATCCTCCATCAAAAGTGTACAGCAATGTCTGAGCTGTGGCCGGCAGATCAGCGGACCGATTCTGATTCCCCTCCAACCCTTGAGATATTCACATAAAACCATGGGAATATTTCCTAGCCACCTACAGGTCGGGTTCCTTTTCAGGTCTCAGCCAGAGCAGAAGCAGAAGGGAAGGTTTAACCGGACTTGGCACTCCTGCTTCTAGGATAATTTAAACATCAAAATGTAATACTTTTAATACTTCACACATGAAGCGTAAATTGCTGTATTTTTCACTTTAATCACATGTGGCAGATTCACAGTTTAAAATCTTGTCATTTAGAGATGACTTCGTAAGACAGATTTATAACTAAACTAAGCATTTTTTCCTCTGAAATTTTTAAGGAAAATCTCAGAAGACCTGAGAATCACAATCCTTGGTACTGAGCCCCGTGACTACTTCAGGGATGGGTCATAGCACTAATCTGTGCTATGGAACCTTAGGTGCTCGTCTGTGTGCAACTTATGAAAGGAAAGCCTGCATCACAAGGCTAATGAATTGCTTTTTAAGGAAGTAATGAAAGTAAAACCGTTTTCCCAAGAAAACTATGTTTTCCAAATAGTATATTCTTAGAACTAGTGTCTGTGTATATGAATTTGCTTATTTCGTACATTGTTTAGAACCTACTTCATTAAACATGTGATTAAGATACTACATTCTCTTGTTTCTCAAAGGCCTTGACCAAACTATTGTGATGATTGGAGTATCAGGAAATCCATGCAATAACTAAAAGAAGTAGTACTTTAAAAAAAATTAACTTAAAAATAAAAAGAATTCAAGGTCATGTAGCCTCAAGACGCTGAGGCGCTTCGGTCAGGAGCACCTGCCTGTGCCCTGCCAGGAGACCTGTGTTCCAGCTGTGCCCTCAACACCCAAGGAGGACAGTGGCAGAGCCTGTGCCATGAGGCCTGGCTAGGGCACTCCTGTGCTTCTTAAGTAGAAGCTGTCGGTATGATAGGTGCTCGGGATATGGATGGCTGCCAGGCAGACACAGAGGATGAGGAGGAGAGCACAGAGACTGTGATCATCAATGTGCTGGATGCTGAGGGGTGAGAAGGGGTCACCTGTGTCCACATTTTGGGAATTACAGGTGTCAAAGTGAAAGACCCAAGGACTCTGGGAGAGGGCCATCCATGCGGCAGAAAGTCAAGTGCAAGTGCCCAGAGCTGAGGGGTAGGAGTGGGGCATAGCCTGGGCAGCAGAGACCAGTGCCTCCTTCTCCCTGTGGAAGGCTCCTCCTTTGACAGACAGGACACTGGGAGGAGTGGAGGGAGGGGACACTCTGGTCAGGATGTACTGAAAACAAAAGAAATACTAATAATTTAAAAAGTATGTGTGTGTGTGTGTGTGCATGAATTTAGGTGCCCCACAAGTGTGCAGAAGGCCCTGAAGGCCAGAAGAGAGCAGCAGATCCCCTGGAATTACAGGTGATTATGAGCTCTCATGTCAGTGCTGGGAACTAAACTCAGGTCCTCTGTGAGAGCAGTAACTGCTCCTAACCACCAAGCCATCTCTCCAGCTCCTTTTTCTGACTCTTAAGGTAGCTCCTCTTCGTGTTTTAACGTGAAGTCTCTTGTGCTGGCTAGTCTTCTGTCAACATGGCACAAGCTAGAGTCATCAGAGAGGAGGAAGCCTCAACTGAGAAAACGCCTTCATAAGATCAGACTGTAGGCAAGCCTGTAGGACATTTTCTTAATCAGTGATTAATGTGGTGGGGCCCAGCCCATGGTGGGTGGTGCCACCCCTAGGCTAGTGGTTCTGGGTTCTACAGGAAAGCAGGCTGAGCAAGCCATGAGGAGCAAGCCAGTAAGAATCACCCCTCCATGGCCTCTGCATCAGCTCCTGCCTCCAGATTCCTGCCCTGTTTGAGTTCCTGTCCTCACTGCTTTTGGTGATGAACTATTATATGGAACTGTGAGTGAAATAAACCATTTCATCCCCAAGTTGCTTTTGGTCGTGACATTTCATCACAGCAATAGTAACGCTAACTAGGACATCTCTACTTTCCTCTAAGGCCCTGACCCATTTAGATCTCCACATATTGCATTGTTTCTATCAGATCTCTTCCTCTCACCCGAAGGCCTTTTCTCCCATAAATTGCATCTTCTGAGGAGACGTGTGTCAGCTTCCTTTCTTGACTAACACCTGGTATTTTATTATTGCCTAATTCATTATGTTTAATAGAAAGAAGGACTGAGGAAGGGGGAGGGAATGAAGAGGGAAGGAAGGTTGGATTTGTATGTCTAAGATATAAAGGCAGCTCATTGGTTCCAATCTGGAAGAGTTACTGCAATACAGTGTCCATAAAAAGTGTGTAAGAGGCTAAGAGGGGAGCTCATGTACCCTTGGAAGTAAATACTTTGTGTTTGCCCTTTGAAAAAACCAGAGTTTGAAATACATGAAGTTCATTAAGTTAACAGAAATAATTTTCAAGATGTTTATTTTTGTGGTGATGGGACTTGAACCCAAGGCCTTGTACATGCTAGGCAAAACACTGCACTACTGGACACCACCCCCATTTCCTTTTAAATCTCTGCCTCTCTCTTTCTCTGGTGTGGGTATATGAGTGCAGGTATGTGTGGCACAGCTTGCATGTAGAGGTTAGAGGATAACTGTTAGGAGTTGGTTAGCTGGTCTGTGAGCTTTGGGGAAATTCTCCTGTTTCTACCTTCCATCTTCCAGTAGGAGTGCTGGGATTACAGATGCACACTATTGCATCTGGTGTGTGTGTGTGTGTGTGTGTGTGTGTGTTAATGTGAGTTCTTGGGATCAGAACTCATGTTAGGCTTACACACTTTTACCAAATGAGCCATCTCCCTGTACCTTACCTCATGTTTTAGTTTCATGTCAGTTACTGTAATAAAATACCCTGGCAGAAATAACTTAGAGGAGAAAGGGTCTATTTTAGTTCATAATTCCAGGTTACAGTCCATCATTGTGGGGAAGTCAAGGTGACAGGAACTTGAAAGAGCTAGTCACATCACTACCACAGTCAAGAGCAGAAAGAATGCATGCATACTTCTTCTTCTTCTTCTTCTTTTTTTTTTTTTTTTTTTTTTTTTTTTTTTTTGGTTTTTCGAAACAGGGTTTCTCTGTGTAGCTTTGCGCCTTTCCTGGGACTCACTTGGTAGCCCAGGCTGGCCTCGAACTCACAGAGATCCGCCTGGCTCTGCCTCCTGAGTGCTGGGATTAAAGGCATGCACCACCACCGCCTGGCGCATGCATACTTCTTAATGCTCGGCTTGCTCTCTGCATTTATACAATCCAGGACTTCTTGCCTAAGGAATGGTGCTACCCACAGTGGGCTAGATTTTCCCACATTAAGTAACAAGACAACCCTCCACAGACATGTACACAGGCTAATATGCTCTACATAATTCCTCATTAGGACTCTTCCCAGGTGATTTAACTTGTGTCAAGCTGACCATTGGCACTAACCATCACACCCCCTTTTAATCACTCTAACATCTTTTGCAGGTCTTAAGACACACAAGCAAAAGTCTGTTCTACCTCTTGTTTACAGAGGAGATATCCCCAAGATTTGCATGTATACCTCCAAACTTTATCTTTCTTTAAAACTGAATTTATTTTTTTACTTCCATGGTAAAATGCACATAAAATTTACCGTATTAACCACTTTTAGTATTTACCATCCTAAGTCTTTGTAAGTATATAGTTCAACAATGCTAAATACATTCACATTTATCTTGTCTCTAGAACTTTTTCATCCTGCAACACTAACACTCTAACCATTTGTGTTAGACTTTTTGCGACTATAACAAATAGTTGAAAGAAGAGGAACAGTTTAAAGAATGAAGTATTTATTTTGACTTAAGTTTTTAAAAATCTTGAGTATAGGAGTTAAGGAGGGCACTAAGACAGATTGTTGGGGCTAAAAAATGTATTCAAAGTTATTAATTCCATGGACAGTCAGACACATAGCTGCATGTCAGGGACTTGGGGTGTCAGGCCCCAACATTACAAATAGTTTGCAGCATAATGGGGACTCTGAAATCAGTTCCTAGAGAGGAGGCTGGAGTGGGGGTTCCTTCTTCCAGTTCTCTGAGGAAGTAGGAAAGGTTTACAGCATGAGCCTTCAGCCAGACTTTCTGATCCCCCAGTAGATGGCAGGAAAGGGGATGAGGAGGGTGGTAGGTACCATGTGTAGCCACCCATATCCCTTTGATGTATCTGGGCCTGCAAACTCCTCAAGTGAGAAATCAGACACCTGGGAGTCCATTAGCTAGATATCACAGAATGGTCTCAGTAGGTTGCCTATTAGTATCTATGGGCTGGGAAGACAAGAGGGGCTATTACAGGTGTTGTGGCCTGAGCACCAGTCTGGTCTGGAGTCTAATAGATTTTAGTCCATGGTGGTTCCATGTTTCTGGACCTGGAATGAAGCGGTACATCATTGTAGAAGAGCTTGGTGGAGTAAAACTATTCCCTTCAGCAGCCAGGAAACAGAGAGCAGTATCAGAACTCAACCATGACACAAACAACAAAGGCCCCCAAAGACTCACTCTCAATGATCTACTTCCTCCTGCCAGGCCACACCCTCTGCAGTTCTACTGCCTCCCAGTAATCTATTCAAAGTCTGAATCCATCATTGGACTCAACTATTGATCATATCTGATCTCTCATGATCTAGTCATCTCTGGAAATTCCCTAAGAAAAACACCCATTGGTACTCAGTGTAAACTCCTCTGGGCCTCTGAATCAAATCAACTTGACAAGATTAACCATTATACCACTAAACACGATTCTCCCTCCCTCTCTCCCCCACCCTTGGCAATCATCTGTCTAATTTCTATTTCCATGATTTTGATTACTTTAGACCCATTGTACCAGTGGAATCATATAGTATGTGTCCTTTTGGAACTGGCTTGTTTCACTTAGCATAATGCCTTCGAGAATAATCCATATTGTGCATGCAGCTGAGTTTTCTTCTTCAAAGCTAATATTCCACTGTAACACATCTCCTTGATCTGCATTCTCCTAATACTAGTGTTGTTGAGTAGCTTTTTGTGTGTTTACTGGCCCTCTGTGTATCACTTTGGAGAATTGTCTGTTCAAGTCCTTTGCTCATTTTAAATTTGGGCTGTTGGGTTTTCCCCCTGAGTTATTATGGATATTAATCCCTTATTATAAATGTGATTTGCAATTATTTTTTCTCACTTTATAGTTTGCATTTTCATTTTGTTGATTGTTTTCTGTGATTAGCAGAAGTTATAAGTTTATGTTATTTCCATTTTCTTTTGCAGACTAAATAAAATACTTCCCATATTTGAAACATAAGCTTGGAGACAACCAGACACATTGTAAGATATTTACAAGTAAGAGCAACAGTGTTGTGGATTCTTCAGAATATATACAATCATCTAGATTTCAGACTGACAAATTTCTCTCCGTGTTACTATAACAAAAGTCCTCTAAACCACTGTGTAAATCAGGATGTTTAAATCAGGCACCCGCTCTTATAAAGAACCTTGGCAGTGCACACTCACCCACTCACACACCCACACACTTACACACACATAACTTGGCTAATGGGTAAATAAAATAGATTTTATGAAATGTAAAAGGAGGCAGAGAGATGACTCAGACGTTTAGAGCACTTGATACTCTTGCAGAGGACCCCACAAGATGGCTGATAACCATCTGTAACTCCAATTCCAAGAGATCCAACACCCTCTTCTGGCCTTCTTGGGCACCTGGTATGCATGTAGTGCACAGACATACATGCAGGCAAAATACACATACACATAAACAATTTTTTAAATTAAAAAAAGAACATGTTAATGAGAATGTAAGAGCTCAATTATTGTTGGAAATATATGCTATGTAACAGTGTACAAACAATGTACACTAATACTACAAATGATAGACTACTAGATGATTAGTCCTTTGAAACATATTTCTGTAAATTTGGCATGAAAGAATTCTGTATTCTAGCATTTCAATCATTAGGACATTCTGAATATGCTTTGTCCTGGCTAGTTTTATGTCAACCTGACCCAAGCTAGAGTCATCTGAAAGGAGGGAACCTCAATTGAAAAAATGCTTCCAGAAGATCCAGCTATAAGGTGTTTTCTTAATTAGCAATTGATGGAGGAGGTCCCAGCCCATGGTGGGTGGTGCTATCCCTGGGCTGGTGGTCAGGGGCTCTATAAGAAAGCAAAGGAGCAAAACCATGGAAGCAAGCCAGTAAGCAACACCCCTCCATGGCCTCTGCATCAGCTCCTGACTCCAGGATTCTGCTCTGTTTGAGGTCCCATCTTGACTTTTTTCAAAGATGAACAGTTGTTGCTAGAGTTTTCCTGCCTTGCCCACAGTCAGGACAAATCTTTGTCACCCGCCAGTCCCACAGCCGCTCAGACCCAACCAAGTAAACACAGAGACTTATATTGCACACAAACTGTATGGCCGTGGCAGGCTTCTTGCTAACTGTTCTTATAGCTTAAATTAATCCATTTCCATAAATCTATACCTTGCCACGTGGCTGGTGGCTTACCGGCGTCTTCGCATGCTGCTGGTCATGGCAGCAGCTGGCAGTGTCTCTCCACCTCAGCCTTCCGCTTCCCACAATTCTCCTCTCTCCTTGTCCCACCTACTTCCTGCCTGGCCACTGGCCAACCAGTGTTTTATTTATTGACCAATCAGAGCAATTTGACATACAGACCGTCCCACAGCAAACAGTGATGTGGAAATTTAAACCAAATAAACCCTTTCCTCCCCAACTTGCTTTTTGGTTATGGTGTTTCATCACAGCAACAGAAACTCTAACTAAGACATCTTTCTATATAATCCCAAGCCTTTTGGTAAAATAGCTGAGCTTCAAAAATGCAAAAGAAATTCTAGATATGATAAAAGTCCTTGTTTTCTTGTGATTACAATATAAAGTTTTATTTATTATTGTGTGCATCTTTGATGTGTATGGGGTTGTGTGTATGCCACGGAGCATGCTTGGTCAGACAACAACTTCGTGGGGTTAGTTTTTTTCTTTTACCTTTAAGTAGGTTCTGGGGACCAAACTCAGGTCATCAGAGTTTCATGGCAAGTGTCTTTAGCCCATTACTACAAAATGTGTTTTCTATATAGTAAACTGATAATAAGTAGACATATCATATGCTAGTAATAGCAACTAAAGATTAGTACAAACATACTCATTGAGAAGTCTGAATATAAAAATTCACACCCAACTTTTGAAAGAAAATATACCTAAAACTATGGCCAATATTCAGGTAGGAGTTACCAGTCTGGGCCTATAGAGATATTTTCTAAGTAGCCTGGGTTTTGTGTGGTCAGTGTCTATGCCTTCGGTAGGTGTTAATGTTTTGACTATAATCTCTACTCAAAATTCTATAACTATAATAATAATTATAAATATTAAAAGATAGCTAAAGCTGAGTGCAGTGGCACACACTTATAATCCCAGAAATCAGGAGGTAGAGGCAGGAGAATCAGAAGTTTAAGACCAGCTTTGGCTATATAGCAAATTCTAGTCTACCCTGGGCTACATGATACCGTGTTTCAAAAAATAAAAATGATAGCCAAATGTGTCAAATATAATAGTCAAGTGTGGTACCTTATACCTATAATCCTAGCACTTGAGAGACTGAGACAAGAAGATTACTGTGAGTTCCAGGCTAGCCTTGACTACAGAGTGAGAGTCTGACTCAAAATACAACACAACACACACACACACACACACAATGTCAGATATAAAAACACATCATAATTCCCAGCAGGTTGCTGTAAGAGCAACTTACATGTCATGCTGGTATTCCAGCGACACATACTATTATCATTCAAAGAGCAAATGCATTTGGTAAGACAAATGAAAGCCGGCCTCTGTGGTACAAGCCTTTAATCTCAGCACTTGGGAGCAAAGGCAGGCTGATCTCTATGTGTTCAAGGCTAGATTGGACTACATAGTGAGTTCGGGGACAGCCTGAAGTACACAGAGAAAACTTATCTTAAAAAAAAAACAAGATAGATGAAATAGTCTGAAAGCAATAAATGCATTTGTAACCTTTGAATGTCATTTTGAGATCAGCAGCTCCAAATGATGGTAGCTAAGAGTGGGACCAATACTGTAAGATGAGACCATTTAACAGTTTGAACAAAAGGGTGGCGTCATTAAATAAAATTCACAAGAACCTCTTGCTGTGAGTTAACCTCCTGTATTAGGCCTGAACAGAAAAATCAAGATGGGTCACTCACATTAAACTTCCATTTTTACCAAGTAGAAACTAAACTGTTTATCTGACTTTCTGAGAAACAGAAATTAGACAAATTTAACATCAAAATCCCAAACAGGCCATTTCAACTGGCCTTGTAACAAATATTCCTCTGCCTTAATCCTATCACACACACACAAAAAAGGTAACCTAGGGTAACCTGATATTATTTGGTTATAGGTTTTTGTTTTTATTGTTTTGTCGTCCTGTCTTTGCTTTACAAGGATAGGAGTTTTGAAATGTTGTTACAACAAAGGAAGGAAAAAAAACATAAATGTATAAACGTAAGTATTAAGTGCAGCATTTTAAATTAATCTAGTTAAGATTTTAAGCTAATACGCTTTAAAGAAAGATGCTGCCTAAGTATGAACATCTTAGGGGGTGACTTGGCTGGCTGCTGGCTTGGGTTTCGCTTGTATATTGAGCACATAATCATGGCGGAAGGACGAGCGGACAGTACGGTTCATCAGTGGCTGAAGTGGGCGGAAGTTGTCCACCATTCTTTTCTCTTTCTCCCCCTCAGAAGTGACAAGCAGGGTCCGAAACTGCTCAAGCTAGAAACCAAAAACATTAAGAATATCAATCAAAACCAATCTTTAGTCCATGGCTAAATTACTTTCATTTTGTTTGTTTTGAGACAGGGTCTCACTGTGTAACCCTTAGAATTCTTTATGTAGAACAGGTTGGCTTTGAACTCCCAGACACCCACCTGCTTCTGTGTCCTAAATGCTGTGATTACAGACATGCACCACCACACCTGGCTTGCTTTCACTTATACAATTCTACAACACTTTGTCTCTAACTGTATTAAGAAAGAGAACTTATATTTTGGTGAGATGACTTCACCCCTTGACAAGGGGTTCAATGCCATGCTGTTGGCATGGCTGTGTGACAGCAGCAGAAATTGGTGAAACCAGTCAAGCTTTTGGGATGTGAAGATTAGGGACAAAGGCCCTGGTCCCCACATATTATCTGTTTGCCAAAGGTGAATTTCATCATCTCTCTGATTCTGAGGAACATCAAATGGAGAGAAAAGCCTAGAAAAGTGGTATGTACAAAATGATTCCATTTTGTCACAAAATTATGCATATTATAAAGATAAATGATCAGAAGGATTTACCCAAATAATTAATAATACTGAGTGTTAAAATAACCAGTGATTAGCATTATAAATGACAGATAACATTTTAAATGCCTTATTAGCATATATAATTATACCTAATAATGGGTTTCATTATGAAATTTTCTGACATGCATATAATATATTTCCATCCTATTCGCTGCTACTCCCCACCCCCATTACCTCCCACTTTCACTCCGATTCTTTTTAAAATAAACCACCAGCCCACCCCTATCCAAACCAAAAGGAATGACATTGTAACTCTGGCAGGGGCTGGGAGCCTGGGAGCAAGGGCCTTTGAACTCCAACAAGTCCAACACAACCAACTCACTCAACAAATCAAGGCTGATCTGACATGGGTATAGGACATCATCAAAAAACTCTAGACTTGGGGGTTGAAGATAATTAAAAGCACTGGCTGCTCTTCCGGAGGTCCTGAGTTCAATTCCCAGCACCCACATGGCAGCTCACAACTGTCTATAACCGTAGTCTCATGGGGTCTGATGCCCTCTTCTGGTGTGCAGACATACATGAAGACAAAATACATTAAATAAATGAACAAACAAACAAACAAATAAATAATTTTTTTTTTTTTTTTTTTTTGAGGCAGGGTTTCTCTGTGTAGCCTTGCCTGTCCTGGAATTCTCTCTGTCTTCCAAGGCATGTGCCACCACTATCCAGAAAGTTTTAAAAGAAAGAAACAAACAAACAGATGAAGAAAAAAAGAAAGAGAAGAAAACAAAAACTCCAGACTCAGTTGGACTCCCTGGCAGCAATGGTATTACAAAATAGTTGGGGATTCGATCTCATGGCAGAAGGGAGGGATCTATACTATGTTAGTGGAGGGATGTTCTTTCTACATGAATTTATCAGCTCTCATAAGGGAGAATTCCAGACAGTTAAAAGAAAGACTAGAATCACAAGCCAGACAGCCCCCATCAGGCTGGACAGTTTTGGGGAGCACTTGGGGTACATGGATGACCCCCTCTATTAGGGCCCTTATTATGATAGTTCTAGCTCTAATTTTCAGTCTTTATGTTTTAAAATTCCTCTCTAATCTGCTGCAGCAAAGAGTTCAAGCCCTTACCTCCTCAACTATCACTCAACTCCTCTTGACTGAGGACTACCAACCCCTCAGAGTCCTGGAACCAGATGATCCCAAAAAGCCATTTAATCTTGAGAAATCAAGATACCTCTAAAATCAAAAGACCTTGGAACAAACAAACACCCCCCCCAAAAAAAAACCTTTTATATCTCTCCCTTACAATGATCCCCCCACCAACACAAAAGAGTTAGGAAAGAATTGATGCCCCTGTCCCTCACTTCTTTCTGTGCTTCAGGGTCTGAGACGACAGCGGGCCTGGATATAAAAACAGGATTTCCAGGAAAGTACAGATGACCCTGCTCATCTTTATCAGTTGGTCACAACCCAGAGAAGAATGTTTGCTGGACAGGCTATCTCCCAAAATAATCTGTCTGGCTTGGGCAAACAAATTCAGGAAGGAGAACCTGCACACCCGCACATAGCCTCCTGAAGCTGCAGGAACTTCCTCATTCCCAAGCGCCGCCCCCCACCCCACCCCTGCAATCTCCATAAAGGGTCCTAGCTAGCTTTTCCCCTACACAGAACCTCTACCCATGGAGAGTGCCTGTCTTTTGCTGTTTGAAATAAACAGTCTCCTCTATTGAGGTCAGACTCTGGTCTATTTCCTGCCTTCTGTCTCTTCACTCTGTGCTCCAAAATCTTAACATTTTCCCTCTTCCCAATGACTTTCATGTCTTTAAAAACATTATATGGCCCGATGAGTTTTAGTAGGGTCACTTACAGGAGGATGGGCACCTTACCAGTGGCTGTACCACTGAGGAAAGTGTCTCCCCCTCCCCCATTCACTGTGTAGACATCCTCGGGTAACTTTTCCTTAATTACTGAATTATCTGTGTATACTGGTGGTTTTTTGTCATCTTGACAAAAGCTAAAGTCAGATTAGCACATGGGCCAGTTTGTGGAGGTATTTTCTTGACAAATAATTGTTCTGGGAGGACCCAGATCACTGTGGGCAATGCCATCTCCTGGCTGCTGGTCCTGGTGCTCTAAGAAAGCAAGCTGAGCAAGCCACGGAGAGCCAGCCAGGAAGCAGCGGTCCTCCATGGCCTGTTTCAATTTCTCTGGTTCCTACTTGAGCTCCTGCCCTGGTTTCTCTTAATGAGGGACTCTACGCTCTAAAAATGAAATAAATCCTTCCCTCCCCAAGTTGTTTTTGATCATGGTGTTTATCACAAAAAAAACAGAAAGCGAACTAGGGTACTATGTTAAAATTTTATTGAAAATTCCTTACATGGGCCACTGACCCTCCGGTTTTCTTTCCAGAGTTATATCAGTTTTTAAATATGAAGGATAGTAGCATATCGGACTGAATGTGTAGGTCCCAAAGGCCAGGCTTATGAGCAGTCCAGCTCTGGACTTTGTCTTACGTTTGTAAGTTTCATCATAAAGAAATGTGTAAGTGTAGTCTAACACAAGTGTAACTGCTTGTGGTCCTTCAGACCTCTGGTTTTCTTTTGTAGTTAAAAGAGCTCCATTCACCTTACACTCTGAAAGGAATTCCTTATGATGAATTTTTATGATGCTTTCCTGTTTTGCAGTACTGAGGGTTAAATGTGGGGCCTCACATATGCTGGGTAATCAGTTTATCACTGTGTTGTATCCCCAACTCCAACTATGCTATTTTTTTTTACATTTACTATATGGAGAATATGTCCCTTTTACCATCAAACATCACCCTTACCACATATTTCATAGAATGTCCTGTCCTTTTTCCTCCCTGGGTTGAGATACTGTGAGAGCCAAAGTTACATTTGAAGTTTGAATTACTACGCCTTAGAGATCCATGAAACAAAGATCTGCAAGCCCCTTGCCCAAGGATAGACAGTTCCTGAAATGCTGGAGGCCATTGTTTATGGGAGATAACAAGCCACATGTCTTCACTCCCCTAAACAAGTTTGTTTGACCCATCTGCACTGGACGTGCTCAATCACATGTGGGCGGGAGGTATGTAAGCAGGAAATATGTCAGGATATATGCTTGCCCTGATTGGACCTGATGGGAAATGCAATGAATTATGGGTTTTCCTTAAGTCCTTGCCATACTTGATTCTGGGCCATTTCCCAGGAACCTGGGTATGGACCTGGCCAGATTCCGTCCACCTGGACAGGATTTAATTAAAGCTTGCTTCCAATTTGGCTTTAAACTGCAGTAGTGGTCTTATTCTCAATCGGTAGGATTAACAAGGCCACCTTCATTATAAAGTAAATTCTCAAATGTAATTGGACACATTTTTGAACTTATAACCTTTCTCCTTGCAAAGGCTAATTTTCTCTATCAATCAGACTGGGGGTGTGCAGATAGCTGGTTAAGTGTGTCTGTGAGGGTGTTTCCCAGAAGAGGTTAGGATTTGAATTGGGGGGCTGAGTAAAGCAGATGATTTTCTTTTATGAGGGTGTCAGCCACTACGGAGAGCCTGAATAGAACAAAAAAGTAGAGGGTTACCTTTGCTCTCTGCTGACTGTCTTTTTGTTTTGTTTTAAGAAAGGATCTTAAATAGCCGAGGCTGGCCTTGAACTGCTATATAACTGAGGGTGGCCACCTCCCAAGTGCTGGTATTATAGGCACAATACCCCAACACCTAGTTTGTATGGAATTAGAAAACTACTGTTTTAGATTAAGTTCCTGCTTTAGGTCCCAATAGACCAACATAAAAATCAAGATAGAGAAGCTAGATGTGGTGGCTCCTCAATCCCAGCACTCAGGAGACAGAGGCAGGCAGATCTCTGTGAGTTCAAGGCCAGCCTGGGCTACACAGGAAGTCCCAGGTCAGCCAGGGAAACATAGGGAGACCCTGTTTGAGAAAAAGAAAATCAAGATGGAGTCACACTAGACTTCCATTTTCCCAAGGGGAAACTACACTGTTTCTGTGATTTTTCTGAGAAACAAGAGATTAGAGAAATCTCAGAGATTAATCTTAGAAAAAAAGTAGAGAAATTTTAACAGCAAAATCCCAAACAGGCCATTTCAGTTGGCCTTGTAATGAAGATTCCTCTGCCTGAATCCTGTCACAAGAAAGGGTAACTAAGGTGACCTGCTGTTTCTTGGTTGTGGATTATTTTGCTTTGTCTCTGTGCTTTACAAGCTCCCACCATAAAAAGTTCAACTGCTTTTGAACTGAGCCATCAATCTGCCTCTGTACCAGGAGCTCCTAGTTATTGGGTCTTCAAGCCAAGACTAGAATGCACACTGTTGGCTTTCCAGCTCTCAGGCCTTTGAGCCCCCTTCTCAGGCAAGCTTCAGGCTGTAGATTGTCGGGGCCGCGTCAGAGGCGCCCCAGTCAGCAATGGAGCGTATGGAATACAACCCACCAGACAGCAAAGCTATGATGG